GGTGATCGAGTCGCCGCCGAAAACTATGAACTGCCCTGATGTCGGATGACACATCATCACTTCGTCGCTCTGGTGTTACAATAATGGAAGAATTGCAAAAGACCCGTCGACTACTCATTCTTGGCGAACGTTCTCGAGTCGTGGCCACCTGCGTGGGAGATGGCAGATCTGTGTCGGGCTATTGAGGACCGGCTGTGGAGGAGACGCCATCACCGGCAGATCTGCGAAATGCTGCTGGGGACTGGTCGTGGCGGAGACGACGTCTCCAGCGGATCTGTGTCGTTATGTTGGGGACCTGGCGGTGAGACGACGTATGTGCTTGAGGCGGCGAGGCAGTGACGGTGGTGTTATTATTGTGTATAGGGGCATGTCCCTCTTGTTAGTTGGTTTGAAGTAAATGTTCAAACTACTCTTACTTATTGGTCAAATACACATATTTGACCATAATATGATCCTATAATTACCAGTTTGTCATTAATGATTGACCAAATTTTGACTTCATCATAACCATTGATATGATTGATTCCATGGTCCAGACTTAATCATATATATTACTTTCACTTTCTCAATTTCTCATATTATTTTATATTAAAAATATAGTATATTTTAATAAACATACTTTTGTATTGTTACACTCATCTTATATAATCAATAAGTGAATTATGTATTTATATAAATATTAACTAAGACAAATATATCATTACATAAACCCTATAAGTATATCTGGTCAAATTTTTATATTATAATTCAATTTATGAATAAATATATAATATATAATATTATATAAAATAAAATAAGACTTTTCTAAACTATTCATAAGTGATTTTTTGTTAGTTTTATTTTTATATAATTATTTAATATATCTAATTAAAATATGACTTATAAATAAATTATTTTTTTAATAAATAATTAATATAATTTAAAATGATCTTATTTAATATAATTTAATCATGATAATATAGTATATAATATATATCTATTTGTTATTATTATTTGCTAATTTTATTTTTTGAACAATTGATTCCTAAACATATGAGAATGATAAAACAATCAATTAGCTATGGAATGGCTAATCCCATATACATGGGTTTTGCGATTCCCATTGGAATGGTAATTCCATTGAGGTAGAGCTTTGTCGCCCTTGTGGTCCTACCCGGGCTCGATTCTGGATTAGTCGGTTCCCTTGTGGATCCGGAAACCGGAAGGTCCCTGTACCAAAAAAAAATATACCAATCATGGGAATATGAACGAGTTAGGGAATGATCATTTCATTCCCACGTCATTCTCGCATACCAATCATGTCATTAATGTGTTCCCGTATGTCTCCCATTCACTATATATATATGATGCTTCAAAGTCATCAAATTCAATGCATGAGAGGTGCCTTAATGACTTCATTAAGACAAGAGTAATGAAACTTTGAGTTTCATCTCATTTCTCAAAACCGAACAAAAAATATGTTCGGTTAATCTTTCCCCACAATGAATTGGGATATTTACATTTGTAATATTAAACACATTCTTTTATCTAAGGATTCCAACAATCCTTAATTTTCTCTTTCTACATGTAATTCTTGTTACAACACAAACTACATGCACTTTTACTTATCTCTCACACATAAGTGAGAAATAATTTATTGAGGTACTTTCATGATTCGATTCATTTCCAATTTCCTTTTTCCCAATTTAGTAAGAGGATGATAATTCCAAACATCGATTTTCAGGAAAATAGGCATTTTGCTCTCGAATTTTCATAGCTAATATCAAAACCTCTTCCAGGCTAAATGGGGCACACACACACACAATATCTTAATTCGTTTGGCCATTTAAGCATTCACATTTCTACAGTCCAACTTTTTTGGTCAAGCATTTTGATTCAACAAAAATGTGAACTTTTTTAATTATGTATGTGTGTAATATTGCATAGTTAAGAGTCATCAACATCAACATAACTAGTATATTCCCAAACATGTTGTGGGATCAGTTGTACGCAGACCTTACCCTTGTAATTATATAAGGAGGTTGTTTCCATAGCGACCCAAAGTGCGTTGCGTCGTTTCATATATTTTTCCTAGAAACTTCACTAATAGAAGAAGCACTAGAATTTAATTGAGTCATTTTGATCTAGTCCATTATTTGCACAATACCAGAAGAATTGTCAACACTGACTCTCTCAGCTCCATTTGCAATGGACTCTATTGCATAGTTAAGAGTAAGAGTTAGAATTCGTGCATACATGCTGTTTGAGATCAATTTAAAGATGGGCACATTCTAAAACGGGAAATTTGGTTGACCTCCCATATATATATATACCATGATTTTTTGTAGTTTGTCATGTCATATTATAAAGTCTGACAAATTGCCTCCCAATTAAATTAAATTGATAATTATCAAAATTGTATTTTAGTTCATGTTTTATCCAATCAGAACAATGATACTGTATGTACGTAAAGATGAACAAAAGATGAATTGAAATACAATTTTGGATCTATAAAATTGTAGGAGATAGAAACCATATCCTTGGTCAAAATCCTTCTTTCGCGTTTTGCCTCTTTTCCGCAGGCCGAAAACCTCCGTCGGGGCGCTGCTCTGCACCGAGGTGTCGGCAAGCTTCCCATCCTGTCGAGTCCCCTTTTCTCGACATGGCGCGTCTCCGTCTCCTGGTGGCCATGGTGGAGCTTAAGGCTGGGGTCCAACATCTGTGCGACGAGTTCGTGGTCATCGGCTCCGTCCGCTGTCGTTGTGGGAGATGAGTTTGAGTCTGACTCGTTTGGCCCCTGGATCCTATTCGCCTTAGTGATTGGGTCTGACGGGGGGTGGTTGGCTGTCGTCGGTAGTGGTCGACCGTTGTCCCCCGATTAGGTGTTGGGGCGTCTGTTCGGTGTTGGGCTATCAGTGTGGTCCGGGATGGTTGTTGTGAAAGAAGTTCGGACTCGTTTGGTATGGGTTTAGTCAGACCTTGTTTGCATTTCTAACTTAAGGTTAGGTCGTGTTCTGCTTTTCGGCGGGAATCGTGTCGCTTGATATTTTTCGATTGTTTGATAGCGGCAAAATTTCAAAAATGGTCCACTATATTGGCCATTTTTCGAAAAATGTCCATCATCTAGGGCGTCATCAATAATGGCCCACTAAGTTGTCACTTTAATCAAAATTCGTACAATAACCAATATAGTGTACTAAAAGTGATCATTTTTAATTGTCATAGTTAGTACATTATGTTTGCTTTTGTACGAGTTTTGATTAAAATGATAACTTAGTGAACCATTATTGAAGACGCCCTATATGATGGACCATTTTCAGAAAAATGACCAACATAATGTACTAAAAATGAAATTTAGCCGTTTGCTAGCGGTTGAGGAAGGCCTTATGTTATCTTTCTTTAGCTTTTAAGTTCAGTTTTTTTCCACTTGTTTTTTTTTTTTTTTTT